ACAAATGAGAGAAAAAACTTCTTAAAACATGTCTAGATTAAAAATACTTGTATCATTCAAGGACACGAGTTCTCTAAAATTAACCTCCCTTACAACAAGCTTGAATATATGAATAAACTGCGCATCAGACAGGCTGGTCCAGAGGCTGATGTGGCAACTATAAAGACACAAATATAGTCCAAACATCTGCAGAGAGACTGAAAACTTTATACTGAAAGACACAGCTTACTAAAAAGGTGCAACGTGCACAAATCGATGCAAGCAAAGATTAAAAATACCTCTAAGACATTCAAAGAAAACACCAATACATGCAAAACAACCACAAAGACGCCATTAAACTACAGAGACACACAAAAAACAGAAGCAAAATCAACAGAAACAGAAACAAAACAGATGATGTCATACCTGGATTTGTGGTTTCAGTGTAGGGTGCATAATCTACCTTTCCTACCCAGTGTGAATGTGAGGCACCAACATATCTAGGAAATTCCTGCCTGTTTGGAAAACCCATGTGGGGAAAAAAAACAATTTAACAGAAAGACTTTAAATACCAAAATATATTAGACTTGCAAATGCATGTTCTAAGTATAGGGAGAGTGTGTCCCCTGTATCCCCTTTGATCCCCAGTTTAATTGAGAGCATCTTTGAGGTAGCAATGGGGTCATGGCAGGATGTCTGTCTGAGGAGCTGCATGCTATATTTAGCCCCCCACCCTGCTCATCTTACAAAAAATGCCACGGTAATCTCTGAATGATTTAGACAGTGAGATTATCTGTGAATGCATGCTTTGATGCTGAGATTGTTTAGACGCAGACAGGAGATAATCCTCCGTCCTGGCGTGCTTCACTTCCCCTTGGATTGTTTTTGGAGCTGGGGATCTATTTCAGCTGAGGGATGATGCATTTGTTTAGTGATTATAATGAATATAAAACATGGATGGTCGTGTTTGACACTTTGATTCTGCAGGACGGCTACATAGACTTCATGGAGTACGTGGCCGCTCTGAGTCTGGTGATGCGGGGAAAGATGGAGCACAAGCTGCGCTGGTATTTCAAACTGTATGATGTGGATGGGAACGGCTGCATTGACCGCCACGAGCTTCTGAACATCATCAAGGTACAGTCATTCCATCGTGCACCAGCCACACTGCATGTCTGAATATTTGTTTTAGCCTCTAATCTGGCAAACATACTGATTTTCCTCATCTTCTCCCAGGCCATCCGCGCAATCAATGGAAATGAAAATCAGGAAACATCTGCGGAGGAGTTCACTAACCGAGTGTTTGACAGGATTGATATAAACGGAGATGGTGAGTGTGCGCTGGCACAGTACGGAGAAAAGGGTTTAGGACAAAATAGATCATGGGTGGACAGAGATTAGACATTCACTCTGAAAGCAAAACATAAGAGACTAAACCTGATGATTTTTTTTTTTACTGGTTTAAAGTAGCTTTCTAATATCTATCAATACACATTTATAATGAATAAAAACAGGAAGTATAATGTTGCTGAGTTAGATGTATACAAAGTACTGAAACAGTAGACGTATACTACTTATAGTAGTTCTTATCACATAGAGTATACTTAGGAATATAAATGATATCTACATGGTTCATCATGTACTGAAATGAACCATAGCCAAAGACCACCGCAACATGTGTTTTAACCTATATTTGTTTACAATTTGAGAAAGTACTAACAGTTCAGTTTTACTCTGTTATTATTATTATTATATTATTACTACTACAGGTGAAACTACTGTCATACTTAAAGGTACTTTTATAGCAAATCTGAGCTAAAAGGCCACCATTAGAAATAAAAATATGCTCTTAAAGGTACAGTCGGTCATTTTTTGAGGTTATTTAATAGGAAATCTCAATGTTTGAAACACTCCACCTTAAAACTTGTCGCTTTTAGCTTTCTCTCTTCATGCCAGCTTTCCTCTGATTCACTGCCCTCCACAAACTTGCGCTCAGACCGTATGAGAAATATCTACAGTAGCCCTGACAAGTCAAACACACTGCAGCTTAACACGAAAACACGAGCAGATAGAAAAATCCTGCAAAAGACAAAAAAAATATACAATAAAATAAAATAAAAGCTAATAAAACACAATGCAAGTGATGTGATGAATAGCTACAGTAAACAACTCGTAGCAAACATGTGAACGATGTGATTAAAAACACAGTTACCTGCATCTCATTTTCCTTCACAACACAGATGGATTCTGTGCTTTCTTTAATCGTCTCATTGCAATCGCATGCTTTGGTTTCTGCTGTCACTTCTGCAACTGTTGTTGCAGGTTCAGTGTGTTTGACCTCTCAGGGCCACCATAAATATCTGCTCCCTTTGACAACAGAGTAGAAAAATTGCCTTAAACTGAGCATTTAGGGCGGTCCGAAGTCTGAACTTAGTGGTACATACACTGACCCCATATTTAATATGAGCATCCACCAATAGATAGGTCCATTTTAACTGTTGGGTTTTATATATTTAAAGACCCATTTAGGAACAAGGTTGCAAACTATCTTAAGTTATAAATACTGTAATAAGTGGTTCTACTTCATGCTGTAAGCTTGCCTCTGTATGATTAATAGCTATGTAGAAAATTTTTGCAAGTTTAGAAGTTAAATGAGGATTTATAATTGCAAAATAGGTTATAGAATACGAGTGAAATGAGTCCAGAAACCTTCGTAAGCTTATGTGTCTGTCTAGCTGGGTGTGGGTGTTTTAGTGTATGAATGTGTTCTCCATAACTGTGAGATTAAATGGATGCAAACAAACAAAATAATGACATAAATAAAATGAAAATATTCACCAAATCAAAATTTAAACTTGGAAAGTGTTTAAACGTGTTTTTGGAATCTCAAACGTTTCTAAAAACACGTTTATCGCCTTTGTAGTTGCAAGCTACCAATGATAATAATTTAAAAGAAAATAGCTGGAGGAAATTTAGTGACATTTACTGACATTTTCCATTGTTTACTTAATATCACGGCACCAGTAATATTAAAATATCATATCAATATATCAAACTGTCTGTTATGAACGTGACTTTGTTGCAGGGAGAAATGACAAATTAGCCGAAAACCCACTCAAATCTGACCAAAAACAACATGTGTCTCTTCCAACAGGGGAGCTTTCCCTGGAGGAGTTTGTGGCAGGCGCTCGCAGCGATGAAGACTTCATGGAGGTGATGATGAAGAGTCTGGATCTCGCCCACATCGTGGCCATGATCCACAACCGGAGGCGAAGCGTTTAGGATCCGTCCCTTCCGATTACCTCATCCTCATTCACGATTTGACCCGAGTGTCTCAGTCAGTCGGGTCATTTTATAGACTGAGATTTCTATTAAGATTGAATCCGCTTTAATATGATTCCAGTGTGTCTTGGAGACTGACACATATCTTATGTTTGATCTCTAAAGGAGTGACACATATGCACTTTAAATGGGATGACTCAGTCAGCCTTTGCAGACTGCTCATTGTCCTTGTTTAATGATGGCGATCGCTCCCAAGGCCACCTCAGCATGAGGGATGATCTCTCAGACGGTCCACTTACCCTCAGACACCCTGAGGCATAAAGGAGGGAGATAGTGGAGTAGCAGAGTGGCAATTACATACACTCGACTAGGCTTTCCAAATCTTTTTTTCTTTATATATTTCTGAGTTCCTCTGCACCAAATTACTCAAATCTCTATTTACCCGCTCTTGCCTGGGGGGGTTTACAGGAGGGAGCTATGACACTGCAGTGTGCTCAACATCCATGCTAATTTGATTAAGTCAGTGGCTGTAAAACAGGAGCAGGTGGGAGATGTGGCAGTGAAAAAACAGTTATCAAATGTTTACCTTTTATATACATTTGTAACTTTATTATTATTATTTTTTAATCTTTTGAAAGCAAAAGTTTAAGTTGGAGCGAAACGCAGGCTTGTGGTTTTGCAGCTTTTCTCTCTGTGTGTGGGAGTTTCTTTGGCTGAATGGTTTGCTTTTTTTTATTCAGCATTGATGCAGATTAGTTTTGTTATGTTTGTTGGCTATGCTCATCTTGTGCCTTCTGTTGGAAGACTACAGAATGTGTTTGAGTTCAGCTTTTGCTTATTTGTACACTAAAAATAAACAATAAAAAAAACAACACACACACTTTGTCTGCTTTTCATGTTTTGAAGATTTACCAGGAACAAATTATCCCAGAAATAATCTTACTAATTTAACAGGTAGAAATTGCAGTTACAGTCAAACTGGGTGTTGGACCTAGTTTTACACCAACAACCATGTTCAAAGCCACTTAAACCACATTTCTTCCCCAGTTTGAGCTTCAGCAGGTCACCTGGCTGATTAGATATTAGTGTTAACAAGCAGATGAACAGGTGTACCTCATAAAGTTGGTGAGTGAATATTTATAACTATATTAATAAATTATGTGATATCCTTACAGCTTAGCAGTTTGTGGGTGAGTATGATAATATCAGCCTGGAGATATAGTACTGCATATCTGCTTTTGTTCTTTATCTTCTCACTGATCTATTTAGAGAGTCCTCCAACTACTTTAAAGACTTGCATATTTTTAGTATTTTTCTGATCTTTGCTCTTTCAATCTCAAATTACTGTGAATCCTGGAGCAGAATTTAGGGGATGTTTTTAGACATCATCTTCCATAAACACTTATAAATTGTATTAACAATATGCCCTGACCTTAGTACGCTCATACAACAGATTAAAAACACATTACTGACATAAAATCCCGCCTTTGAGCAAGGACGATGACTCACCTGCATGGTGCCAGGATCACTTTGCATCAGTGCTTCTACAGCTGCACACCAGTTTTGTTTTTCCTTTTTCTTATTTAAATCGTAACAAACAGAGTATGTACTAATTTCTTTGTTATACTAAAGCCTAAACTAGATGTTTGCAATATGCTAAAAATTTTAATAAATCTCTAGTATATTTGTTATGAACACACTGAAAATGTAACCACAAAAATAAACCAAAATAAAGTTTGAAGTTACAAAGATTTATTTTCTACAAATACAAACATTTAAACGAGGAGCTCATTTATCAACCACAAGGGGGCAGCGAAATAATTGGATTAATTTCCTCCTGGAGCTTCTTGTGTTTCCAAATACTTGTCCTTAGGTGAGTTCTTGCAGAAACAAATGTGCCTTTGTCTGACTGTCACTGCGTGTCATCTCTCTGTTAATGCACTGCAGGCTCACAGAAAGTCGTACAAATACTTGACAATATCAAAGTTCACCGTCCTGGAAGATAAATCACACAAAGCAGATTTTCAAAAAAAAAAAAAAAAGAAAAAAAAAGGAAAACTGTAAAAGGTCAGTTCACTTGAATAATTCAGTCAGTCTCATTCATGTGCATTAAAAGGATGAGCGTGCATGCACACACACGCACAGACCTGGATATGGCGCAGATGAAGTCCAGAGAAACGGCACATTTGTACTTCGGGGCGTCGAGCTGGTCGTCATGACTGACCTGAGCCAGCAGCTGCAGGGTCACCAGCGAAGAAATCTAAACGGGGACAGAGGAAAACCAAAATGAGTCTCTGCTCCACTTCTTAAAACGCAGCTTCTCCACTTTGAAGCAGAGCCATTAAATGATGGTAGCCAGTCACACAGATATGGGGCGAGCCTAATTGCCTAAAACCATTTCATGCTTGGGTCCATAGATAGGTCTGTGTTTAGCTGCCTTTGACCATATGGCTAGGAAACTGTTTAAACTTTTTTTTTAAAAAAAAAAATCAGGCTTGATTTAACATGAAACACTGCACTGTTACACACAGGAAACAAAAAAAATCCTTTACCATCCTTTTGTTATAACAGTGTACATTCCTGTTCAGTGGCTTATCAGGCAAATTGGAAAAAAGTGTGAAATTATTTTCTATATTGGGTCGTACCCTGAGGCCAACTCAGGGTACGAAACTACACTTCAGGACTAAATGAGGGGAAACAGACTATTGCAGAGCTCTGACATAACAAGGTGGTGGTGTTTAAACAAGTCAAGGAGAGAAATATTATCAGATCTCTTAGGAGATGAATTATTTTTGGATAAGTTATCTTAGTGCACACACAGTTCAGCGGAAATGAAAACACGAACTCTTTAATTCAAATTCAAATTATTTGTTCCATACCACATTATAGAATCATTTAAACACAACAGATGAACAACAACACATGACAAAATAGCGCCATTATTTGTTTAATAAAAATTAAGCCAGGAATAGGAATTAAGAGGATGAGTAGCAGGCAGCTGCTAATCAGATGTGCTCAGTAAATGTGGGCACCTCCATAAAAGCAGAAGTTTTGGCAGCCTTCAGGTCTCAAGCGTTCAAATGTGTCAGCACAGTGCCAAGGAGGAAAAATGTCAACTATGTCCCGCTTGCGTACCTACTGACGTTGTTGTCAAATGTCATCTTTATGGGGAACGAGCTAAAAAAGCAACAGTGGCTGCCCATCAACCTGGGATGGGTTTTAATACCATTCCCAAAAAGTCCAAAATCCATCATTAAGAAATATTATCCACAACTGTTAATGATTCAAGACAGCTGCCAATCCTGTCAGGGGTCTGAATTTTTAGTGAAAGCAACTCTCGACTGCTTTAAACCAGACTGACCTGTGAGAAGATGCTCGCTGTCGGGGTGACTCTGCTGTCCACCACACTGTAAAAGATGGCAAGCAAGCGGTCCAGAGGGAAGGGCTTTGGACCCAGAAGGTGATTACTTGTCTAGAAGACAGACAGATCGATATAAACATTGTGTTACATGTTTCCAAATGAAATCAACGAAGATGTAAGAGTTATGTCAGAATAATCACCTTTTCATTTTTCTTCAGGAAGTTTGTTTTTCTTATTTTACCATGGTGCTGTTGAGCAGAAACAGAAGATGTGATTCATTTGATTCATTCACAAAACCATGACTTAGGGGAGAAGGTTAAGAAAACAAAAAATCCCCCCCAAAAAAGCTTAATAAATGTATTTTTCTCCCAAAGATGAGCATATTTGGGATATTCATTCTCACTAACATCACACAGCCAAGAATAAAGAAAAAAAGAACTTTTGACTCACTGCAAATTTTGTACTTGTGCTGACCTCATTATAAGAATTTTTTGCATTACAGTGTATACATGGCTGAACATAAAAAAAGTATTATTATTATTATATTCCTTTACCTTTAAAAAGAAGCGTTTATCTGTGCGTGCAGGGTTGTAGGAAGCCAGATAGGCAGCAATCAACAGGAACTTGGAGTAATAAGGCAATTCAACATGAGTGTGAGCTGATAAACCTTTCAGAAGACAAAATAAATGCAATAAGTCCACGTCGTCATATTCTTTCCTGCACTAAAATTCTGTTTTCTTGCATAGAAGAAAAGAATTTAAGCGTAAGTGACCAGTGTTTCAGTTTGACATCTGCTCTGTAATCGAAATCAGTGCAAATACCTCGCAAGGCTCCGGCCTCCTTCTCCTCCATTTGCTGCATTTGCTCCCACTGCAGACTAAGCAGAGGACAGAGAATACACATGGATGATGAGGCTAAAAAAAAACCCCATTAATAGTCTAAAAAGCAGCGCATAGCAAAATAATGCAAAAAGTTCAGACCTGGACACCTCTCGAAGGTAAACCGTCTGCATGGCTTTTTTCAAATGTGGCTCAATGTGTTTCCACAGCTTGTGGGTGTCAGTCTCTTTCACTAAACACACAGCATAATTACAAACACCATCAGAAAGTGGTGGAAAAACAGCAGGAAAACCTCAAAAACATTTGTAGAAACAAAGCAATTAAAGCAGCACAGATCAATATTTTAACCAGCTGAGGATGAACACTCGGCTCAGCTATTTCACAGATTTCCTTCAAGCTTTTTGGGTATTTTTTTATGTGCTGACAGTCTCCAAACTCTACTCTCATAACACTCATTTCCAATCACAGCGGGCGCCCAGAGAGAAGCCGAAGCATCAAACGGACAAACATCCACATACTGTTTTCACAATAGACCCAAAAAGAGACAAGATAGGATTTCTAAATGTCAAATTCATTTTAGTGTCTGGAATATGAGGAGCCTCTGAAGCTACAGTATATCAGAAATGTGGAGCTACCCCACAGGGTTTGAACGCAGGGACTGTGATTTACCCGCGTGGGCTTCTTGTTTTTGTCTTCGAAGCTTGTTGAAGACAACATGAAGTAGCTTGAAAATTACCATCATTGAATCAAAGAAAATAAACACAAAGACAGTTATGGCACAAAGGGGAGCCTTCACAACATCGCTCATAACATACACTCAGGAAATATACACTCAGTGGGCTCTTTACTGGGTACAACTGTACAAGTGAAGGCAGCCCAAAGCAATACAAAAGTTTTGCTCTATTATTTTTATTTTTAAGGCAACATTGTTAGATCTGAGTGTTTACATCATCTGAATACATGTTTTTGGTTGGTTAGAGGCAGAATTCCAGGTCTGCAAAGTTATAGTTTCACATTATACTGGGAAGTAATTTGTATTATAAAATTTTAACCATTTTATTTCCAAAGATAAAGACACACTTGAGTTAAAATAGGACAGTAAACTATTTTTGACTATAAAGAATCAGTGGTTACCAGGTGATCACATTGAACTTTTCACATTTGGCGACCAATCGGAAATAGTTGCAGTGACCAAGTGGTTGCAGCATGCAGCAAGTCAGGCTCTGGTTGACCACTTTTAGATTGCAAGGTGATCTGGACTGGACTGGCTGTGATCACTCTCAGACATATTGGCAAAGGGTTGTAAAAAAAACTGCCTTCTAATTTAATATGTAGACAGACTGCCAACACACTGCAATTTGACTCTATCTACTCCGATGAGCGCAACTTGCCTGTGATGCGTCTCTTAGAAATAGGAGGCTAATCTCAATAGAAAACAACTTAGGTGCCAACTGATTGTATTCAGGTTATATTCCTATATTAAAGCAAGATTGTCCAGCACCTTTGTCATTCTGTAGTTAAATCACCATCCTGCAGCAGCTGTATGAGGTTTTGGCTGGACTCTGAGTGTAACTAGTTTGAATTTCTGTAGAATGAGAGTTTCTGTCTCCACAGACGGAAAAAGCTTTGCAACAGATTTGAGATCTGGGCCAATTTATCACAGTTAATCACAGATTATATGCAATTTCCAGCTTGACCTCATTCAGTCTCAAACTGATAGCAGTCTGACTCTGTCTTATTGCTGTTTTATCTCCATCTTGAGGCCCCAAAGTCTCTCTCAAGATGGCATTTGACTGCAAGTTGTCACAAAAGCAATGATTAGTAGCATTAGGTCTGTTTCTGGCCACTGTAAATGTCAGCTTTAGAGCATGAAAGTTTTTTTAGTTGGTTTTTCATGCAAAACAGCTCTGAACAACATAATGATGAAGACCTCAGCGCTGCTACATGTAACTGAATTGGCACATTTCTATGAAATTGGACAAGAACTGAACATTATGAGCCTTGAAAATAAGATTTTTTGCTATCAGTTAGGTACTATATAAGTTAAATCAACACTGACCTAAAAATCAATAACTTTTATGTAGAAATCTTGCTTCACAGCTGCCAAGTTTACACAAACACATCTATATCTAAAAGCTAATGATCTGCAGTGTCTGCTGGATGTGTAAGTATTCTACCAACATCTGCAATTACAGTTTCCATGATAACTTTATACAGGTAGTGTGCGTTTTAGTGTGTTCTTTTCAGATGAATGAAAAGACCTCCTCACAATTACCTTTCCCTTCTGCCAAAGGCTCACAGAACTTTGAAAAGTTCAGGGCAGCCTAGTAGAAAAGAACAGAAGAAAATGAGAAAACAGGTGGAAGAATTAAAAATAATCAATGCAACAACTTGTTAATGTGTGTTTCTGACCAGGTGTTGCAGCTCTCTGAGGTCTCGACAGACAGAGTAGAAGACTCCCAGCAGGATGTTGATGTACGCAGAGTAAAACCCAGCTGAATATGAAGGATGCACGTTCTGGGACAAAATCTGTTGCAGCTCACCTACAAACGGTTTAAGGAACAAGAAATAAAGCTTCTCCAAAAACCAGCCAAGTCTCACAATATAAAGTAAAATGATTCATTCACACACCAAGTGCTGAATTTATACAGTGGTTCTTAAGAACGCAACATTTTTCCCCAGAGTCGCTGCCTGGAGTGTGAGAACAGTATCACAGGTACAAATGTCACAGCTCACGCTGCATATGCTGACCGTGCGTCATCAATACGCAGCGTGTTGTGAGTTGCTCGTGACACTGGCTGCCGTAGCATGTGTGAGGAGGATTATATACTTTTACTGTAGTCAGGGAAATGCAGCAGAAGCGGCTCAAAGCAGCCTGTGTTTGGTCTGAACTTGTCCCAGGCGATTTCACTGAGCAAGATGACGGTAACGTTGTCCCCAACCTGAAGAACAGATGTATGTAGTTAGGATCAGGGAGCTCAGAGAGATGAAGACTCTGAGAACTTCACAGTTACAGACCTCTTTCCTCAGTTGATTCATGTGTTTTATATATTTAGATGTTTAGCTTTGTTTGCTTGATTAAGTTCTTACTGGACATGTTGACTAAACAAAACAAATGAACGCATTTTTGATTATGCAGAAACAATAAACACTCACAGGTTTCAGCTTTTCAAATGTGAACATTTTGTAGGTTTTTTTCTTACGTGTGATGTGAAACTGAATATAGTTCTGTTTTTCCTTAAAGAGAACAATATTTTATAAGCATATAATAAAAGACCTTCTGAATTTGAGTCTCTAAATATATGGGAAAATTTAAAAGAAATAATTCATTTTAAAGCTAAAGCAGCCACAACACAGGAAGAAGTACTGCACCTACAAATGGCATACACAACAGTTCAGATCCTCTACTCTGAAAACATCAATTCATTTTCTGCTGTTTATCCAGTTGTGAGTCTTAGGAGCAACAGTCTAAGCATAGATACCAGACCTCCCACTACCTCCAGCTCTTCTAAAGGTACATCTGAACTTTCTGAAAGTCTGCCAAGGATGTCCTGAGTGTACGCGAGGGTCTTCTCCAGTAGGCCATGTCATATACACCTCACCTAGGAGACGTCCTAGGCATATGCCTCCTCCTATATCATAATTAAATACTGTAAATAAGGAATCCCATCTCCATCAGGGTGCGACAGAGGTAGGACTACAGAGGATATGTTAGAAAGACAGCACGGTGGTAGTGTGGTTAGGGCTGTCCCTTCAAGCATCTTCAAGCCTCACTATGACTGCTTGGGTTTCCTCATTGTATGCAAGATTTATCCTGCAGTTCATTTTATTTGTTTACTTAGATTCCCTTTAAGGCCTAAGATTTATTATTAAAGTCATTTGAACAACTAGGGCTGGGCCATATCATACCGTTCACGGTAATACCGGTATAATGTTGGGCAATGATAAGAAAATGAAATATCGCGATAGAATATGGGTAAAACGCGCATGCACAGTGCCTTTGTTTTCATACGCACATGGTGGAAAAAGCATGGTGGCGACGATGAAATGAGAAGATGAAAGTGGATCGTTAAATGAAACAGATGAACCAGAATTGGTTTGTAAAAATGCTGCAACTTCAGTGGTGTGGAACTGGTTTAGCTTTCGTCCGTCAGATACACAACAAAGCACTATTTTGGTAGAGCATGCTAGCGGGCCGTCGTTATTACCGTGTTTTTAATACGGCACACTTAAAATCAATCCTTTGATTTTTCTGAAAATCGACAGTGCCCTTTATAATCCCGTGTGCCTTATGTATGAATTCTGGTTGTGTTTACTGACCTCGAAACGATTTTATGTGGTACACGGCGCTCGAAAATCTGTCAAATGTTTCAGTACGACTTTGCTAAGCTACGAACCCGCACCGCTTGATGGATTGTCGGAGCATTACGGCTATCGTAGGCAGGAGCCTCGCGGAGTGATACGTACTGTGCTTCAACATAATATTACCGTATTGTGTGTGTATAACCTCTTTTTAAGTTTTGTGGATATTATACATGGTTATGCTGAGGATATGTCGGCCAGTTTCCACTGGAAATGCCTTTTGGTTAAACTGTCAGCAAGGAATTTGCATTTGCACTGTTAAATTTTTATATAACTTTAATGCACATAAAAAACAGCTGCTTGTTTAAGTGAAAATACATTGATTTTTTTTTTTTTGCACTAATAAAGTTGTGGAGTTGTAAAGTATTTTGTCTAGTGTCAATTATATCGTCAGTTATATCGTTATCGCAAATTTTCAAATGTATATCGTGATAAATATTTTTGGTCATATCGCCCTGCTCTTATACCTACAAACACCACCTGCAGTTAAGCTACTTAATTTAAACACACACAGTGGCTTTAATACTGCAGATGCCTATAACCAAGAGATGACAACATAATTTGCTATTAATGCTAAAAGTCTGCTGCATCATTGAAACGTGCATATATATAATGTGCAGAGATAAAAGGGATCTGTGAACATCAATAAAATATGTCCACTGTGACCACCACTGTTACCTAATGCAAGAAATAGCCTTAATCGCTATAACTTCTATGTGTTTAGACACAAGACCATTAATCTAGAGTTGAAGCACTTCTTGAATGTTTATCGGGGTTTGGCATGGTAGTGGTTTTTGGTCTGGGTACTTCAGCTTCCTTCTCTTTTTCTTTTAGCCCTGTGATGGGCTGCTAACCTTCTCAAGTTATAACCTGCCTGTTTTGAAAAATGGGATGGGCTCCAGCCACTCTGTCACCCTGAACTGGTTAAGCAGTTCAGAAAAAGGATGCATGGACGATAGACAGAAACTGGAAAACTGCACCAGTCACCTTTTTTTCTTGTGTAGGAAATATAGGAAAAGTTAAGCCAGATTATTTTCTGCATGTCAGTAACACACACACATTTTACGTCTTTCCTGTTAATGTTTTATTACATTTTTTCCCGAAGTTTAGAGATGAAACAACTCCTCATCATCCTCCCGTCCTCCACGTAAGTGTAAATCTGCATCCTAATTATCACTTCAAAATCCAGTGTGGCAGCACTGAAGCAGCAAGCCATTAAAAAGACAGGTTCCTCTTAACGCTCACAATCCGCCGTTAAGCACTTAGCTTTCATTGGGATGAAACACAAATAATCACATAAGTCTTTTTACTTTTGGTGTTTTTAATTAAAATGCTGTGAGTGGTTGCCATCCTTCCTTCCTTAATAGCATTAAAAAGCACCACACACTCAGCTCAAGGTCATCCGTTACAAATGAGGCTCCTCCAGTCCCCTCTTCATCATCCGCACAGAGCAACAACAATAAAGCAACTCACTTTATAGATAACACAAAGAGCATGCAGCACTTTCTCACCAGCTCCTGAAGACGCAGGAGAGCAGAGAGGAGACTGGCATCAGTATCTCTCAGAAGCTCGGCTTTCTCCATTACCTACAAATTACACAGTTAATGTTAATTTGATCTCATTTTATCACATTTATAATACAGGCAGTGAATGGATGTTTTATCAGAGAGCATTACTGATTAAACCCACTCCTGTTCTGACTGAAAATTACACTTGTTTTCTCCAGGCTGATGCATCTGCAGCTTTGTTTAGCATCTATTTGCACTTGTTATCACTACTAATCATATCATCACACAAACATTCAGGTGACACATGCGAGGAATAAATAATCTGACATGCCATGGGATTAGGGATAATCTCGTATGCCAAGTGAGGAGTGGTTGTGTGTAAAGTGCACGGCACTCACAATGTATCGCGTCTGTTTGGCAGGAGACTGGGAGCACTGCTGTCTGTAGACACGGACAAAGTCAGACAGGGAGGGACTGCGGGGGAGAAGAGAGGCGGCATCGCAGCCAAAGAAGGACAGCAGCACTTGTTCAAACAGCAACGCAATAGAAACACACTCGACGCAGCTCACTGTGGCGTGAGGAAGCTGCAGAGAGAAGGAAAAGGAAGCATGAAAGAGAATCAGTCTGATGTCTGTGGAGATGATGCACATCTTCACACTGTGTTGACTTAATCTTCTGACTGCACTGGACCCTAAATATGTACAAATTACATAATTTTGTGTTACCTATTGAAAGCAAGGACAAGTTATATAAACAGTGGGTTCATTAGAGAGATAACTTTGAATATCTTGAGGTCCAACTTAAGAGGTCACTCCTTGTTTTCCCCAGGACTTTATAGCCAAATGACTAGGGATGGGTATCGTTTAGGTTTTATCCGATACCGGTGCCAAACCGGTACTTTTGAAACGGTGCCGGTGCTTAAACGGTGCTCAAACCGGTGCTTAAAGAATGGAGAACACAAAATTGGTCCAAAAACCTCTCATGTTCAGCTGTTTTTTTGTAAAAAGATAACAATGTTAGCCTTTTCTGCAGCTATAGGGGATTTATGGCATCACTCTTGGCTGGAAGCAGTGCTTAATCAATGGAAAAAACACAAACTTTGTCCAAAAACCTCTCATGTTCAGCTGTTTCCCTCTTTTTCTTTGGTCATTTTAGCCTTTTTGGCCAGGGTGAAGGGAGCATCTGCCATCAAACAAGAAGACAGCCGTATGTAGCTATGATGATGTTTGCTAGTTCACCTTACATGCATTAATTTAATAACGTGGTTAGCCTACTCAACGTAAATTACACACGAACAACATTAAGCTACTCACGCAGATAAGAACGGCTGCTGCTGCCGTCATCATCTGTCATCATTTCTGCTACACTGGCAGGGCTAGGGGCCAGGACTCTCCTCTTTGTGTTTTTGGGGGATGTTGCTAACTCCGGGTCCGATAACAGGCAACCCGCCCGCAGTAGATGTGCTCGGTGTGAGGTCTCACAGCAAGCTATCAAATACGGCGCATTTCTCGGCTTTTAAAAAAACGCTATGCGTCGCCAGCTGTTTCATCGGATTCTTGGTGTTACCTCCTTTGACAGTATCACAGTATCAGCTTAAAGCACTTGTTGCAGGCTGCTGAGTTTGCATCTTTTGCTGTGAAGTACAGCCAGACTTTTGACCGCTTTGCCTTGGTCATTTTTAATCTGTAGCTCTGCTCTAAAAGAACGTACATACCTGGACCCGCCTACTATCCTCGGAAACGTAAAATGATTGGCTAGAATCTAAAGTGTATCACAGCTCAGGGAAAAAAAGCACCAAAATAAAGCACCGAAATGTACGCTGCTTTTCGGTCTAGTTACTACCGTTTATGTCAGAACCGGTGCATACCGGTACCCATCCCTACATATGGATTCATCTATAATAAACAAAATCATAATCAGGGATTAATCTGCATTAAAGGCTGCAGCCCTAGTTGGCAATTAAATTTTCACATTGTGAGAAACCACCCAATTGGAGTAAAACATTATTCAGAAACTGCAGGAACCAAAAAGATCAAGAACAAGTGATTTAAGAAACAATAGTCCTAAGAAGGCTATAAATTCTCCGTATTTGAATTTATTTATTTATTTTAAAAAGAAGAAGACTTCCATGTTGTCAAGTCACATTTTTGTGGCTATGCGAGATATGATCATTAATGGAGTATCATTAAACTGTAAAACAAAGCATGCTATGAGTTTTACATTTGCCAGACATCTCTTTGAAGGTGGTGAGGGTTTCTTGGAAGTCCAGGTCTGATCCAGAGTAACATACGCTTTACCCCACATTTATTTTGCTGTGATATGGACACCCTCAGTGGCACAGGATAGCATGCTGGCATGCACCACAGTTCAGGTTGTCTCCTTTAAATGTTTAACATCAGGCTCTGCACAAAATTACAGTAGAACTCACTGCAGATGAAACGGGTCTCTCTTGTAAATGAGACGCTGAGTCTCAATGGGACTATCTAGATATTTGGATATTAAAAATATTTGGATATTTTAAAAAAAAAAATAGCTGCTTTCTAAGAAAGAGACTTCTTTGGTAGCCATTACCCATCTATACTGAGTGCATTGGCATAAAGTATGTGTGCAAAGAGAGAAAAACATCCGAAGGTCTTTGATCTTTAAATTTAATTTATACAAGAATGCTAGCAGTAAAATTGTTGCTTTTCTTTAATGTTTTTTCCCAGTGATTTTAAGGGGAAAATGCGCCTTACACACACTCAAACTATGCAAAGATTTGTGTTCTTGTGTGATTTTGTACTTTCAGTAAAACTAAGTATTTTCAAGGACTCTTTAAGTGATTGAATAAAGAAAAAGTTCTTAATAACACAAGTGTCAACTTTTTATTAAAGTTATAAAGGCTTAAAGGAGTCCATAAGTCAAATTTTTCTAATTCAAGTAACTGCCAGTGGAATAATATTTAGCTGTCTGTCCTTTATCGCACTTTTACCTGCTATGTATGAGGGGAATTAAGAGTGAAGTTAGTTTTTATATTATGGTTTTAAAAACAGGGCCCTGTAGCATGCACACATAAGAACATTATTCAGAACGTTCACTAAATAGCAGATATCTCCCTCACCTCCAGCTCCTTCATCAAAACGTGCATCACGTGGCTTTTCCCTGAGGCTCGATGACCGTAAATGAGGATTGAAGGGTAGCTGTACTGGTGCGGCTGGAAGAACAAAATTCAGCATCTTTACACTCAGTAGAACTGTCTCACTCGATCAAGACCACTATCCACTTAAACCTTCTATCAGCTTTCATCAGCACATCGCAAAGTAATAACAGCCAAGCTCTGATATGATTAAACCCAGTGTTAATGTCAGTAATCAGCCATAGTGCTAACAGCTCATAGACTCAGCTTACTTAACGAATCTATTTAAAACCCTGAGTGAGATCAAATGACAAGTAATTAATTTTTATAACAAGGATAAAATAAATTGCATATCTATTAATGATTTTAATCCAAGACAGACATCAATTACTGGTACTAAACTGTCCAAAGCTTCAGATCTACATTTTATAATCTAAGATAAACATTTTGAACAATGAATTTTAAAGGGAAATCTCATCAGATGATCCAAATATGTCGACATATTTACTAAATTACACTGGATAACACAAATAATGCAAAACTTAACCCTAGAAATAAGAAAATGACATTGAGCTACTGAGATATTGAGATTTAAGGTTTAGGAAAATGACTTTTATTTTTCCTATACTTTTTTTTTTATAAAAACAAAAAATATAATAGTAATAATAATAATAATACAAGAAAATTGTAAAAGAGTGAAAATGGTCTTTAATGCATCATATATCAGTGATAAAACTTTTTAAATCAAACACATAAAACACTGAGTTTTTAGGACGTTAAAAACTGAATTAGCATGTGTATATGCTTCTTTTAATGTGGTATACTTTAAAACATTAAACGGAGATGAGTGGAGACTTCTTACCTGCCCCATCAGCGACAGCAACATTTCAGCCTGGACCTCTCTGCAGGGCAACTTCTCTGCTACCCCCTTCAAGCTCTCCTCATCGTATCCCGGGTGCTGCAACAGCGCCGTCATGCTACCACCACACCGTTTATGTAGGTGAGCTCAGCAGAGTTCTGCTAAAAACAACTGACTGACGTTAGCTTCAGCTCGTCCAACTCCAACCAGACGACGAATGAACTCCGTTGTTCAGACAAAAAAAATGAGTCAAAGGAGTAATATCATCAAAAATTATGTGCTGTAAAAACCATAGGGTGCTGAGGAAACATTCATGCCGGTAAATAAAATGTCTTTAAGACTTAAAATGCGAAGAAGTCTTCAGTTAAAGTCCGAAACACCTTAAAATCAGTCAAGACCACTTGCTGGAGTTTCGCGCGCGCCTTCAGATTGCGTCACATGCTGTCATTCGGTAGCAGCGAATCACAAGTGAGACACGAATTCTGGGTAATGTAGTTTTGGGAGTGAAACAAGCACATTAGAAATTCACTGCGGATTCAAGATAACTATTTGCGATATTTCCCAATAAACGTGGATCAAAGCAAGTCTTACATACTGCAACATATTTAATTGTGCTTTCACACACTTATAAACATACATTCTAGTAATCTATGGGTAACATCTGATGTAATCTGGTACATTGCAGTGTACTGGTAGTACACTAACATAACCAAAACAGAAGAAGGTATAGTCATCATAATATTAAAAGTATATATTATTTCAATTTGATGCTTTTTTTTTAATGTTATTTCTTTCTCTCTAGCTAATCACTCACTCAGATATAATCTTCAGCTACATTCTTAACCACTCATCCATCCATATGGAATACAAAAAAATCATTTTATATATCAATGTAATGCTTAATGTAATATTATAATATAATATTTTTAGCAAAATAATGATGAAAAAGACGTAATATCCTGCGCGTTTCGTTCTTGATGTGAGATTATGATTATTATTTTTCTTGTTATTTATTTATTTTTGCCAGTTGCAAGAAATACATACAATAAATCGTTGTTGTAGCCTACTGATCTAGTCTTTGTGCTCAAAAAGCTTAATATCACAGACCAGAAAATGGGCTACAGTTTAAAGAATGTACCAGTCTAGGTAAAATATTAGAGAAAAGACCCTGCATCTTGGCATTTGATTATCAATATTTGAATAGCAGATGCGTTTATATCCACTAATTTCCATACAATTATTGTCGCAGTGATCAGGCGTAAAATCGCTTTGCTCTAGAAGAAAAAAAAAATCAGTGTCTGTTTAAGATTTCGCGGGTGACTGTACGTCAGAGTGGGATTAAGGGATGTGGGTTGGCCCTGTAATATCCGAGGCTATCCTCCAACTCTAATTCAATAGGAGCTCAGCTGCGCTGTCGGTCTGTCGGCGTCGAGAACGGGCTGACCATTTCAGGGAGAGCCGTGCACACAGCTGAGACGGTTTATCGGAACAGCGGACACGATTCAGGCAGAGACATTTTAACATAACCTACACATGAAGGCAAATATGGAAGAAATCCCCTAAATTTTGGATTCCCAGAGCTCGTCTTTTTTTTCTCCCTGGAGCGCATGTCTTGATTCTGCCGACTAATGAGTGAAAAGCAAAAAGAAATCAAACACCGACCTTGCCACGGATGAGAGCGTAGTGATGCTGTGATAACTGTGACTGAACAGACAGTAGGGGAAAAAAATCCGCGAGCAGCGACAGGGAGAAGTTGTGCGGGATATTGTGGTCAGATGAGGCAGATGTTAGTTTGCTGAGGAGGTTGATAGATCCCGAGGACCGCGCAGACCACCCTCACATTATGGTCCCCGGGGCCCCCAGCACGACCACCACCATGCTCCCCGCATCCGAGGCTGCCAAGATCTACCAGACCAACTACGTGCGCAACTCCCGCGCCATCGGCGTCCTATGGGCCATCTTCACCATCCTCTTCGCCATCGTCAACGTGGTGTGCTTCATCCAGCCGTACTGGATCGGGGATGGCGTGGATACGCCGCAGGCGGGCTACTTCGGTCTGTTCCACTACTGCATTGGAAACGGGCTGTCCCGGGACTTGACCTGTCAGGGCAGCTTCACCGAGTTCAGCAGCATTCCCTCCGGTGCGTTCAAAGCTGCCTCCTTCTTCATCGGCATGTCCATGGCGCTGGTGCTCACCTGCATCACCTGCTTCGCGCTCTTCTTCTTCTGTAGCACCGGCACCGTGTACAAGATCTGCGGCTGGATGCAGCTGGCTGCAGGTAAGAGGCATGACTACAGGTGGAAGTTTGGAAAGATGGCTTGTAGGGGAGCTCTGGGGGTGAGTGAGAAGAGTCCAGTGAGCAAAATGTTATAACCTAAAACTGTTTAAAGGCACAGATATTACCCTCATCTCCCAGTCAGGGTGTGGACTTGTATAGTTTTTGGCACAAAACATCTGTATATTGTTTTAAGGCACCAACAAATTCAGAGGTTGGAGTGCTTTTTCACTTCAAAAACAACAGTAGTTTACATGTAGTTTACATCAAATTACAGATGTAAATTAGTTGACCCTGAACTGTAAAACAGAAAAAAAAATGATCACAATGTGCAACAGGTTAAGCCACTGAGCCCAAATTGAGTAGATTTTGTCTGATGAGACCTTTTGTCAGAGACTCTCTCTGGTTAATAAAGCCCTTGTAAAACATTATATAACTGTCTGTGGTGTAGGTGGGCTGGCAACAGCCTTGGAGTGACCAAATCTTCAGCTCCAAACATTGTACTAAACCCTCAAGAATGAAATAATGAAGGCATGCTAATATTTTCATTTTGCTTTCAGAGAACTCATTCCCCCTGAACCTGAAGCTGTGAATGAACTCTCTTCATACACAGACAGCGATTTTAAGTACAAAAATACAGATGGAAGATTTTAATATAAGCTTATATCTTCTTAGTTTCTTCCACTTCAATTCAATATATCGTTGATTTTATAACTTCTCAGTGTTTCCTGTGGTGTGCTTAAACATAAACTGGAAAACGCAAATTCTTCTTTTGCTCATTTAATGACACAGGGAATGTTTTATCTTCAATCCCAGCCAGGACGTTAAATAATAAGAAAACAAAAACTCACACAAAGAAATGTAATGATGTATAGTACTGAGTGAGCTGTTTCCTCCCGCCTTTAATTATTTTTTAGTTCTTCTCCTTTTTGCAGAGAGTTCTATCCAAAACAAACTATTTCTGTACATACAGGAGCAGAGAGTTTAATAGTGAAATCGTTTCTTATTTTCCCCCTTTCATTTATCACAGATGTGTTTTCTGTACATTTTATTGTTTTTCTGTTTTCTGTTTATTTGGATCCCCTTTAGATTTATATCTCCCAAGAGTCCTTATTAAAGTCACAATAGAATACAAGCAAGATACAGCTGTGGCTCAGAGGGTATGTTGATGACTCAATCCCTGACTCTTCCAGCCCGCATGTAGACATATCCTTGGGCAAGATACTGAACCCTGATACATCCGTGTCTATGAATGTTAGAAAGCGCTTAGAGTGAAGGATGAGACATGTAGCAGAGTGTAGTAGAGAGTAGAAAGACACTCTATAAGTACCACTCCATTTACCATCCTACATACAAACACCACCTCCTACACCCGGTGCAAAAATACTGCACACATACCAAGTGTTTTAAAATAAAGTATTTTTCATATACATGTGAATGAGAAACATTTACTCCAGTGAAGCATGTACCCCGTGGCCATTTTTCCCTCCCATGCCAACTTTAGGCCAAGAGACAATAAAGCAAGAATCAAGCGTTATTACTATAGTTATCTTATGATTTGTTCACAGCTTGCTGACACTGATTTGTGATAACAGTATGAGATTTTATTTATATGACACCTTTTAAAACACATTTACAAATTTACATTGTTGGGATAGGCCTGGCAGAACCCTGGCTGGGTATCTCAGGCTGTATCCTTCCATATAAGGTGTCAGAAGATCTGAGATACACTTAGTTTGTGAGCCCACAGTGGGCTTTAAAACCCATCAATCAAATCTTAAAATCAATCATCAAATGAAAAGATAACTACTGAAGAGAAGCTAAAACATGACTGATGTGCTCTCTGGCTGCTGCATTTTGGACAAGCTGTAGTTTTGTGTAGATGTCTTTGTGTATAAGGACTTAATAACGGTCTACAAGAGAAAACAGAGCATGACTGGACAATGAACTGATATTCATATTCCAATTGAGGTGGCTGTCAAGATATGACACCCTGGTTTTTACAGTGTTGGCCCAAAGAGCCCAGATGTGCTGTAATACTTCTGTTAGCAGCATTGTGGCCAATTAATGAAGCGCTTACTGAAAGTCCATTTTAGTTTAGACAATTTTAAATGTGTGGGCTTATCAAAGGGCAGCATGTCTTTGGACTGCAGCTTCCTCCCTCAGTCCAAATGCATACTTCTAAGGTTAATTGGTGATTCTATTGTTTTCTGTGTGATGGGCCTGTGACTGGTGACCTGTCTAGCTACCCCATGGCGCTTAGCTAAATAAGCAGCTAAGGAAATAGATGGTCTATTCCTACCTTGTTCATTTTCTGAAAGCATTTAAGATGATTTACTGAGTTCTTCTTAAGAAGAACGTTTCTCTGACATTGTACTAGGGAGTTGGCAGATTAAACACTGGCTAATGTCCAATCTGACTGCTTCTGGACATTTGCATTCTTATGCGAACCTCAGCTAGGATGTCTGGAAAAGTTCAGGGCTGCAGTGTATTTTTGAAATGAACATTCACCAAGGACAGCATCGAAAGAAACAGCAGAGGTATAAGAGCTGTGTAAACTGAGCTTCGAGAGTGGTAGTCTGTAGGCGCTATACACTGAGCCTTACAGGCTCGTGTCTACAGCTGTGTGCTGTCACCTTTGAGCGGTGCTAAAAGTATGTCGAACCACTGGTAATGTGGGCTACTGCTGTTCATGTTTGCTGGTCTACTATGTTAACCTCTGCTGTGGAAAAGACAGCAGTCCTCTACAGAGAACTTCTTCATTAAAAGCAATTAAAGCTTTCCACTGCATGCATGCTTTCTATCTACAGTTTCCTCTTTGTGATAAACCTTCCTGTCACCAACTTTTCAACTGGTCTATGTGAACCTGGAATCTTTGAGATTAGGTTCATGCTTTTGGGTTTTTGGAGAAATGCAAATAAAGTGCATCTCCTTAGGCTCTGTTGGTTGAAGGTTTCTTGAATATCGTCACGTCCATATTGCTTGAGATTTGTCCACCATAATGGATGCTACACAACTGCCGAACGTCAGGGAGAAATGTGCATACCCTGACTGGTTGGGTTTCTGGGGGCTGCTCGTTGCCAGAAACAGAGTGCTGCACCACAAACCTCCTTGTGATTGATTTGGTCACTAGCAGATTGCCTGTTGTATGCATGGAGGACGCTGACTTGCTAAATACTAACCGAGGGGCTGTAAAATTTGGAAAAGTGTGACTCAAACCTCAAACAGAGAACTCTTTTGTTTTGTGTCACACTTTGCAGACAACTTCCATTAGTCCATGAAAACTACCAACAACTGCACCAATATGCTAGCGATCAAAGCAATCGAAAGGAGGTTTTGAACAACCACTCGCACGATACACATTTCTTTCTAGTGAAAAATCCAGTTTCCAGATGGTTGTGGACCAGTTTTCTAGACCTGTGTGTCACTGATGCCCCATTCACATGACCCTGGATTATCATATTTCCAAAATGGGGAATAAGTTAGCAGTTTCATGGCTGCAGTACCTCAAAAGCTAACAAGCTAAGTAAATGGGTAATAACACAGGACCATAAATCCTGTTCTAGACCACAGTTCACCAGGTACTGTGATTTTACCTGATCTTTTAACCAAGTTTACTAGATCTGTGTCACACAGTGTGGCTTGCAATCATTTTAGTGCTGATTATTGCTGAAGTCTCACATTAGTTGATCTTATTTCATATTCATCTAAGGATTGTCACAGACCCAGAAAGCAGACTTAGAAAGGAGTTTATGCCTTTCAAGTGTTTATTTATAAGTTGGTGAAAAAGTAAAGAGAGACAGCGTTAATAATACCTCAGTTTGGGTGACTATAGCTCAGAAGGTAGAGCAGGTCCTCTGTTAATTGGAAGGTTGGTGGTTCCATTCTCTTATGCTCCAGTCTACATTCCAAACATCCTTGGCCAAGATAACAGATGATTCACTAGGGCATGTGACTGGTAACTGAAAACAGAAGAGGGACCAGGGTTAACAGGTGAATAGGAACACTAATCACCGGTAACAGGGTTGTCACAAGCTCCATTTGGCAATCTGACGAGGAACTGAGGCAACCTCCGGCCCTTAAATACCCACACATGATGACTGAATCCAGGACAGGTGTGGAAAGGACAACCAGATAGGAGACTCTGCCCACACCTAATGCCAACCCCACCTCTTCACCTGTGACTAAATAGCAGAATTAAAACACAAGCACAGATCCTCAATCTGGTGCACCACAACACTCACCCTGTTAATCAGTCACATCATGAGTCAACCTCTGACAGTTTAGGCGAGTGTAGCCTCGAGCAGACGAGAAACACCTGCAGGGGTCCACTGAACCTGCTTGTCTTTTTGGGTTCATTTTCAAGCTTGTAGCCTTTGTCCTCAGCTGACAGTTTTTAATTTATCCAATTTGGATACAACATTTTCACCACATATAGAACAAGTTCTCCAATAAACCTGTAAACCGGCTTTGATGTGCAGGATAGAAGGAGTTCCCTTTTAAAGTCTTTTGATATTTGTTTGCCTCAGCTTGTGATTTTTGTGTAAAAATGCAAACATAAATCTATCTAAATAAGTCAGATGGACATATGGAAGCTCATTTGTATTCTCATAAAGATTGGTTTAAGGTCAACAGTCCCAACTGGGAACAAAAAAGAAGAATATAGCCGATATCTTCCATTTGTCTTTCACTTGACCTTGACTCAACATTGACTAGAGAGAGGTGGAAGAAAGAAGCAGCTACATGACTCACTGAGCTTTAATTTGATCCAGAAATAAGAGATTTGATTTCATTTCTTGAGAAAATGAACGGCGCTGCACAAATTTACACCCCCGCAGCGAAACATATGATAAGTAATGACTGATAAAGACAGCGATTCTGCGCCGAGTCTCTGGCTCAGAAACGTTTGTGTATATAAATAATCTGCCAGCATCGCATCATGCACCTTTATAAATGCTTGCAGCAAAACACTGCTTGTTCTCAAATGGGAATTAAATGTCATA